ACCTTAGCCTAAAATATAGAGAAAGACAATGCAGAGATATGAAGAAAGACAGATCTGAGAGCATCATCAGAGCCTATATATCCAGCTCTGCCTGGAATGGCAAAAGTCAAAATACTCTCATTGGGAACAAGCCAGCATGAGTTGAGATTCTGTCATTTACAACAAATAGATCCATAATTAATACAGAAGAAGGTGGGGGGGAGCCTTTTGGTTTTGTACTATTTTATGAGCTGAATTTATGGTGCTGAGAAGCATTTTTCAGTCAAAATAACTAGAGTGATGTAGATACAGATCATCACTGGTCTACCTTCATTATAGTAAATATGAACCAGGTTAATCCTATGTATGTTTTATGAATTTCTGATGGGAAAAAATTAGAAAAATACTGAAAACATCCACAACTCTGCCACATAGACAAGCACTCATTATTTTTACTTATTTCTATCTTTTTCACAATTTTGCACGTTGTTACATCATATTATAGAGACAATTTTATGTCCTTTTTATTAACACTCACTTTTGTCATTAAAAATACCTTGTATTCATACTTTGAATTGATTACTATTCTACACCATAGATATACCACACTTAACTTTATAATTTTCCTGTTTGGGGATATCTTGATTATTTATTTCCAGTTTTTCATCATTTTAAATAGCATTATAGTATATGCCTTTAAATAAAAATTTGAATTTGAATTTCTCATCATTTTATTAGAACAGCATCCTAGAACTGGAATTAGTGGTTCAGTGGGTAAAAACAGGTTATAGTCTTTTTGCTCCTTGTGTCTCGGGAATGGGGAGTTAGTGTTTAGTGGGGACAGAGTTTCAGTTTAGGAAGGTGAAAAATTCCGCAGATGGATGATGGTGGGAGCTGCACAACGATGTAAATGTACTTAGTGCCACTGAACTGTACAGTTAAATACGGTTAAAATAGTATGTTTTATATTATGTGACTTCTACCACAATAAAAAAACATTTTCAAAAAGTATTCTAAATGTATCATCTCTACTCCCTAACACCTTTGTTACTTGAACCCACTACAGTCAGATTTTCATCCCTACCATTCCGTTGAAATCACTCTTGCTGAGGTCACCAGTGAGTTTTAAATTTTATTTATTTGTTTATGTTTTTATTTATGGCTGTGTTGGGTCTTCGTTTCTGTGCGAGGGCTTTCTCTAGTTGCAGCAAGTGGGGGCCACTCTTCATCGCAGTGCACGGGGCTCTCACTATCGTGGCCTCTCTTGTTGCGGAGTACAGGCTCCAGATGCGCAGGCTCAGTAGTTGTGGCTCACGGGCCTAGTTGCTCTGCGGCATGTGGGATCCTCCCAGACCAGGGCTCGAACCCATGTCCCCTGCATTGGCAGGCGGATTCTCTACCACTGCGCCACCAGGGAAGCCCACCAGTGAGTTTTATATCCACAAATGCAATGATACATTACCATTCCTTATCTTATTGAGTGTCTCCGAAGAACGTGGCATTATGGCTATTCTCTCCCTGAAACACCATCTTTGCCTGGATCCTGGAACTCCACATTCTCCTGGTTTGCCTTCTTCCTTGCAAACCGCTCCTGCTCAGTCTCCTTTTCCTACATCTTCCTCCTCTTGCTGGTGTCTACATGTTGTGTTTTCTCAGAGCTCAGTCCTCAAACATTTATTCTCTTCAAATGATCTTGGAGGGGTTCAGGACATGCCACCCCGAAATAGGCCACTAGTATAAAAGCACTTAAGCCTAGCCACTTTGGGTCTTCATTTTTCTATGAGGACCCCTATGTACATGTAAAAATTATTAAATAAAATCTCTATGCTTTTCTCCTGTTAACCTGTTGTATGTCAACTTACTTCTCAGGTCCAGATGGAGAACCTAAGAGGGAACAGGTAAAGCTTTAGCTCCCCTACAATCTCATCTAGGGATATGGCTTTAATTACTATTTATACATTGATGACACACAAATTTACATTTTCATCCCAACCTTCTCTATTGAAAGCCAGGCTCATATATACTGTAATCTATGTCACATCTACACTGGATATCTAATTGGCATCTAACATATCCTTAACATAAGGCCTGATTTCCCCCCATAGGTTCTTCCCTCATTGTCTTCCATCTCAAAAAAAAAATGGCAATATAATTCACCTTACCAGAAATCTAGGGACTCCTCCTTAATTCTTCTGTTTCTCCCATACCCCACATTGTCAAACAAACCTGCCACATAAGATTTATTTTTTTCTCATAAATAGTTTGACTTTGTTTTTCAATTCAAACAATGATGTTACACGATGGGTTTCAGTGACCACCAGTTCATTTCTGAATTCTAAGATGACAGATACATAGATAGATAGATAGATAGTTAGATAGATAGATAAGATCAAGGAATCTTGTGTCGAGGTTGTTGCCTAGTTAAACATCTCCTTGCCTTGCAATATTTCTTGCCTAGCTGTTCAGGACTTTCCCTCAGAAGCCAGGAGCCAATGAACTGCTTACTTCTTTGGTACCTTGGAGATTTTAGACTCTGGAGCAATGTACCATAGTAAGATTCAGGATGGTGGAGGTTTTTTTTAAGGGAAAGTTAAGAGTGCAAAGTGAAATGGGAAAGAGGCAGCATGATATCTGGATCTCAAGCATGTTCTAAAGCAGTTTTAGGGAAAAAAATTCTAATACACAAACCCATACACACACACACACGCACACACACACACACACACGACTAGATTCCATTAGAATTATCTATGCCTGCATAAACCTTGGCAAACCTTTATATAATTTCAAGCGTATAGGAATCCCAGTTTAAAGACTACTGGTCTAAAATGGGACAGGGAATGCCCTGGCAGTCCAGTGGTCAGGACTCTGCACTTCCACTGTAGGGGGCATGGGTTCAATTCCTGGTCAGGGAAATAGATCCCACATGCCTTGCAAGCACAGCCAAAAATAATACAATACAATACAAATAAAGAAAAAAAATTTTTTAAGTAAAATAAAATGGGACACTCTCACTAACACACTTGTCACAATATACTTACTGAGAACTCATTCCTCCCCACTGATTTGAGATACTATCTTTAATATATACTAAATTTCCATATACAATTAGGTTTAATTATTGATTTGCTATTCCATTTAATTGACCTATCTGCTTAGTGTTAACTTGTAGTTAAGAAGGTTCTTGGGGCTTACCTGGTGGCGCAGTGGTTGAGAGTCCGCCTGCCGATGCAGGGGACACGGGTTCGTGCCCCGGTCCGGGAAGATCCCACATGCCACGGAGCAGCTGGGCCCGTGAGCCATGGCCGCTGAGCCTGCGCGTCCGGAACCTGTGGCCCGCAATGGGAGAGGCCACAACAGTGAGAGTCCCACGTACCAGAAAAAAAATATATATATATATATAGATATAAATAACACTCTATGTATACATTTTGTAATTTAATATACCCAAGAAAGATCCACAAGTTCAGCTACTTGAGTTAATTTTACTCCTGCTAATGATTGGTTTTAAAGGGAGTTTAGAGTAGCTATTGCATAACCAGCTTGGTATTTTTTCTTTTCAATATTTAAAGTAAGATTATTTTAAAAACACGTCAATTCAGAATTTTGTATGAGAGTGTCCAAAAGATCTGTTCCGGACATGAAGGCATTTTGAACAACAGAAGTACAATCATGAGATCCTTTAATTGAGAAGTGTAACAAACTTGAATAATATGCGGAGAAATTAATATTTTATGATTAGTCAACTAACTGGTAGACAAAGTTTGAGTGTTTTAGATTGGAGAACAATTTGTACTGTATGTAGTACCATCAGATTTAAATGGAGATTCCGAGCAAGATCTGAAGATGCTTCAACCAATTTAGCCAAGGCTGTAATTACTTAGAGACAAGGAGTATAAGTTTTGTTGAACTTTAAGGGGTAGGCCATGATAGGCAATGGGTCTTTGTTGTTTGCCATGTTGTTTAGTAATATCCTTAGGCATGGCTTTCCTTTTACATTCATACACAAAGAAAGGTTCATTACAATCAGTGGTGAACTTACGATCAGCTGTCTTATGGAGGTGTATGTCACCTGCAATATATTCCCTTTAGAGCTGGGCGCACAGAATATAGGTGCTTCTTGTGGCTCTTTTAGGGTCCCAATTGAGTTAATGGGAAAAATATAAATTCAAAGGTTTGATAACCTAATGACCAAACTCTGGCATCTATTTTGGCCTTTCTGAACAGAGTTGGGATGTGAAAACTAACAGAGAAGAGAAGGGGACCTCTGTGACAGGACTCCATGTCTGCAAGCTTCATTCTAGTCTTCTGCAAAGGGAGATTATCTTTTCTCCTGCTATTAGGTCCCAAGATAGGTAACTGGACAGATGTTGTGGTGAATAATTATATTGATTGCTATATCAATATATAGGTTGAAAAAGCTGCAGTAACTAGTCTAAAGAGATTTGCCTTCTTAACATAAAGTGATTTATTTCTACCTTAGGTGAAAGAAAAGCATACATAGGTGTAAGGATACATGATCATTACATCTTAGGTTGTTTCCATAATCCATTATATGTAGTATTTTAAAATAAGTTCCATCACAGACGCAACGATTAAACACAGCAGTTGGTCGAATCATCAATCTCCCTTTCAATAACAAATTTACCTCGTGTTTATTTTCAGATGTAATTGCTATCAGTTGAAGAGCTGGTTAATGCAAAAGGAAGTCTGGGTTGAGTGAGACTCTCACCTAGTCCACAGAGAAGCTGACATGACCCACATCAACTTGCTCCTCCAGGAAACCCCTGTTTCCTGTTGCGGGGCAGCAGCAACACATAGCTCAGCAATTCTTCCCTCACCCTGTCAGGCTCACCTCACCTTGCAGAGCCTTGAAATTGAAGAAGACACTTTCCATCTAGAGGAAGACCTCAAACATGCTTCTCTCCAGCCTTCTGAAGGTGGTCATGGCTTCATTGTGGCTAGGTAAGGATGGCCCCAGTGGGACTGTACCCCTCTAGGACCTAAGGACTGGGGGAACAGGTGGTTTATGGGCACCCTGGGAAGAAGGGGCACTAGAGTGTAAAACAGAATTTCTTTGTTCCAAAGTACTTATTCTTAAACTTCTGATTCTGCTTTTTTTTCTTTAGGATCCAGTATTGCCCAGAAGGTAACTCAAGACCAACCAGTAATATTAGTGCAGGAGAAGGAGGTTGTGACCCTGGATTGCATATATGACACAAATGAATTCACTTATAGTCTATACTGGTACAAGCAGCCCAGCAGTGGGGCGATGATTCTCCTTATTCGTCAGGATTCTTATAACCAGCAAAATGCAACAGAAGGTCGCTACTCACTGAATTTCCAGAAGGCAAACAAATCCATCAAACTTGCCATCTCAGCTTCACAGCTGGAGGACTCTGCAGTGTATTTCTGTGCACTGAGTGAGCCCACAGTGAGAGGCGTGTTGGAGGCAGGTATACCAAAACCCAGGGCTCTGCTTGATACATCTGCCTGCTATAGGGACCAGGGCAGGGAATTGCCTTCACAGACAGGAAGTGGTTAGGGCTGTGGCAGCACAGGTGTAGGGTTAGAGGGAAAGCATTCCTTCTAAGAACATATTTCTCTGGGTTCGTAGACCAGGTCTAGAGCTATCATTCATCAAAAACAACCTTATCCCTGAAAATTTGGGTTCAAATTTTTTATTGAAGACAAAAAATAGCCACATAAAATCCATGCCATTTAGTGATTAGAATGAGCTAGAAGAATTGACTAAGGAAATTCAGAGACATCTGATTCAAAAATTAGTAAAAATATGCGTGAATTTTTGGATTTTCAATTTGTTCATTAAATATTTATTGAATATATATTACATTACAGGTATTGTTTTGAATAAGGAAGGTTGTGAAATCTTTTTGTGATTTTCCTCTTTTTGAATATTATGCAGTTTTACACCGTTTAATGAAGTCATTTAATTTAGTTTTGTTAGCTGAGTTTATGGTACACTTGTTTACTTTCTAAGGTGCCTGATATGTCACAAACTTTGTGCTAATCCTCATTCTGTCTATTAACACCTCTAGCATGGAACAGCTGAATTACCATAATGTAAGTTTTACCTGCCTCCCATCAGTCTTATCCACAAAAAGATCAATAATTAGTGGCTCTGAAAAGGACATTGTGAGAAGCAGACTATGAATTATCTTGTTTCTCTGCTCTTGCCCTTCACTGCACCACTCCTTCAAAAGTATTTTTGCCATCATGTGGCACATTTTGGACACCTCCAGGCCCTCTTTTTCAATCAGTGTTACACAATCCCAAATACTCCTTCCCTCAAATTTCCTCCTTCTACCTCTAATCCCATTTTCTCAGTGTCTTAAAATATGAATGGTAATGGGTGGTTGCTAAGTGATCTTGTATTGTAACTGCCTCTTATATTTGCATTTCAAAAGCAGTTGTGTAGAGTAGAAATCTTAAAAGGAATGTCATACAGTCCCTTCATTTTTAAGTGGTGCTGGAAAAATTGGACAGCTACGTGTAAAAGGATGAAATTAGAACAGTCTCTAACACCATACATGAAAATAAAGATCTAAATGTAAGACCAAATAATATAAAACTCTTAGAGGAAAACATAGGCAGAACACTCTCTGATATAAATCACAGCAAGACCTTTTTTGGTCCACCGCCTAGAGTAATGAAAATAAAACCAAAAATATACAAGTGAAACCTAATGAAACTTAAAGCTTTTGCACAGCAAAGGAAACCGTAAACAAAATGAAAAGACAAGACACAGAATGGGAGAAAATATTTGCCAGTGAATGCACAAACAAGGGCTTATTCTCCAATATATACAAACAGCTCATGCAGCTCAATGTCAAAAAACCAAACATCCCAGTCAAAAAAATGGGTGGAAGATCTCAATAGACATTTCTCCAAAGAAGACATACACATGGCCAAGAGGCACATGAAAAGATGCTCAACATCATTAATTATTAGGGAAATGCAGATCAAAACTACAATGAGGGGGGCTTCCCTGGTGGGGCAGTGGTTGAGAGTCCGCCTGCCGATGCAGGGGACACAGGTTCATGCCCCGGTCCGGGAAGATCCCACATGCCACGGAGCGGCTGGGCCCGTGAGCCATGGCTGCTGAGCCTGCGCGTCCAGAGCCTGTGGTCCACAACAGGAGAGGCCACAACAGTGAGGGGCCCAAGTACCACAAAAAACAAAACAAAACAAAACAAAAACTACAATGAGGTATCACCTCACACTGATCACAATGGCCTTCATCCAAAAATCTGCAAACAATAAATGCTGGTGAGGGTGTGGAGAAAAGGGAACCCTCCTACACTGCTGGTGGGAATGTAAATTGATACAGCTACTATGGAGAACAGTATGGAGGTTCCTTAAAAAACTAAAAATAAAACTATCATATGATCCAGCAATCTCACTTCTGGGCATATATCCAGAGAAAACCATAAATCAGGAAGACATATGCACCCCAGTGTTCATTGCAGCTCTATTTACAATAGCCAGGACATGGAAGCAACCTAAATGTTCACCAATGGAGGAATAGATAAAGAAGATGTGGTACATACATACAATGGAACATTACTCAGCCATAAAAAAGAATGAAATAATGCCATTTGCAGCAACATGGATGGACCTAGAGATTGTCATACTGAGTGAAGTAAGTCAGACAGAGAAAGACAAATATTATATGATATTGCTTATATGTTCAATCTAAAAAAAAAAGGTACAAATGAACCTATTTACAAAACGGAAGTAGAGTCACAGATGTAGAAAACAAACTTATGGTTACCAAGGGGGAAATGGGGAGGAGGAATAAACTGGGAGATTGGGATTGACATATAACACTACTATATATAAAATAGATAACTAATAAGAACCTACTGTATAGCATAGGGAACTCTACTGAATACTTACATGGGAATAGACTTACATGGGAATAGAATCTAAAAAAGAGTGTAATGATTTACATGGGAATAGAATCTAAAAAGAGTGGATATATGTACATGTATAACTGATTCACTCTGCTGTACAGCAGAAACTAACACAACATTGTAAATCTACTATACTCCAATAAAAATCATTTTAAAAGTCTGAAAAATTTTTAACTCAAAAAATCTTACTTTTTTTTTTTTGCGTTACTCGGACCTCTCACTGTTGTGGCCTCTCCCGTTGCGGAGCACAGGCTCCGGACGTACAGGCCCAGCGGCCATGGCTCACGGGCCCAGCCGCTCCGCGGCATGTGGGATCTTTCCGGACGAAGGCACGAACCCGTGTCCCCTGCATCGGCAGGCGGACGCTCAACCACTGCGCCACCAGGGAAGTCCTACTCCCTAATCTTTGATGACCATCTCGGTCTAGGACACTGATCACAAATGAAATCTTATAAACTGGCATCAGACTGGCTGCAACAAAACCATCGGGGAGCTTTAAAAAATTACACACTTGTGGGAATTCCCTGGCAGTCCAGTGGTTAGGACTCCGCACTTTCACTGCTGAGAGACCGGATTCAATCCCTGGGTGGGGACCTAAGAGCCTACAAGCTGTGCAGCAGGGCCAAGGGAAAAAAAAAAATTACACAGTTGTGGGTCTCAATCCTGGAAAGTATGATTCATGAAGTTAGTTGTGGGATCCCAGAATCTGTAATTTTAAATCACTTACACATTGATTCTTTTATTAGCTGTTGTATGAATATCAGCTGTGTCTTTAATAATTTGAAAAGCTGGGAAAAAAGAGAGTCCTAACTCATGCTCGAGGCTTTTGAAACAAATCCACATCTTTAGAGTTCCTAACCCAGTGGAGGAAAATTATTTGATTAAAGTTTGGCAATAAAATATGGCCGATGGATGGTAACAGAAAGCATCCTTGAGGTTATTCACTAAGAGTATAAGATTAGTACTTGTCTGATTCACATAGGCCAACCCTTTTATCTTGGAGTCAAGAAAATAGTAGGAGAATAAGACATTGATCTCAGACCATTCTATAAGGATTTGATCATTTCAATTATGATATTTCTTTTGTTTTCACATTTTAATGATTCTGAAATTCAGGATTCTTTGACTATTGATAAGATAGTGTGGCTTTTTCCTCTGAAAAGATTTTATTAAACAGATATTATTTTGGGACCGATAAAATATTATATTTCAAGTAGTAGTGATTCCTCAATCAGTGACCCTTGATTCATTAGTTTTGTTTGGTATAACAAATATTTAGTGAGCATGGAATACATGTCAGTCACTGTTGCTCTATAAATTGGGGTACAATGCTGAAACACAGAGATTCACTCAGTACTGATTTGGCTTCTTATTACGTCCTCTGTAATCAACCTCAGATTCTTTTCTGACATTCAGTGGATTATAGGCTGGCCCACCATGGATACCTGAGAATATAAAGTACTATATAAAGTGCTTAAGAGAACTGTTATTTTCTCAGCTGCAGAAATACCTGGGATGCTCTGTTAAAGAACTTCCATGTCAGGTAGTGTCCTAAGAGCAAAACAGACCTGAGAAGTTATGACAGCTCTTGATCAGATTTCCAAGCACCACCTGAAGACTGGCATGTACCTCATGAATAAAGTCAAGGATAACATTTTTCTGACTTGAGGAGACCAGGAAACGTGCATCCCATTTCAGTGTCTTTCCACCAGGGGGTGCAGTTTCCTAACACAAACACATTTCCTGTCTGAAACTAGGCTTAAGTTTATCACTTCACTGACTTCAATATTTCTTCATGTGAAGAGTCAAGGACATTATTCAGGAGACACTCTAGAGATGAACTCTTCTCCAGGCTTAGTGACTGTGATACTCTTAGTGCTTGGTAAGCAAAATGCCTCTAAAAATTTGGATTCCTTCTTCTGTTATGCCAACAAAACCTTTAATCATAATTTTATCCCAGAGCTTTAGGCCCAAGATGATACAGAACTCTTTTATTTTTCCCCAGGACAAACCCGTGAAGACTCAGTGACCCAGATGGATGGCCAAATGACTCTTCCAGAAGGGGCTGCCTTGACCATAAATTGCACTTATTCAACCACTGGGTACCCCATTACTTTCTGGTATGTTCAATATCCTGGAGAAGGTCCACAGGTCCTTCTGAAAGCCATGAAGGACAATGAGAAGGGAACCAATAAGGAGTTTGAAGCCACATACCACAAAGAATCAAAATCCTTCCACTTGGAGAAAGCCTCAGTCCAAGATTCAGATTCGGCTGTGTACTACTGTGCTCTGAGTGACACAGTGATGGGAACTGCAGGGGCAACTGAGCGCAAACTCTTTGAGTGGCAACAAGGGGCCTGGAGGCTGAGTGTCTCTCCATTTGATACACTCTGTGGCACAGTCTATGGTGGTTTGTCCCTCAATCTCTGGTTGATACAAAACTCATACAAATTTCTAGAGAA